TGCACATAGTCTTGGGTTTCTGTGTGTTTTATTGCATCTCTATTCTGACAAACACTTCTGTCATATGTGTGTTGAGGTAACATTGCTGAACGTTTAACCCTCTCCTTACTTTTTGGCTCTTTATTCCTCTACTCTGTTAACGAGGTCTATGCATCATCTGGCTGAATTCACTCTAAAATAATTGAATTATATAAATGGAAAAATATATCTGATAGTGTACTGATTTATCTATGTTCAAATTCTAAAAAAAAAACAACTCTTAGTGTTGCTTTTAATATGATTAATGTTGTATGATGTTGTATGGTTTTATTATATTACTTTTGTTATTTTTATGTGTTTGTTATTCTGATTGTTTATTCATCTCTTTGTGTCTGAGTACCTTGAAAAGGGCAAAATAAATAAATTGTATTATCATTATTTAAAATTCAGTTGCTTTCAGATTATACCAAAACAATAACTCTGATAGATATGATGTATAAATATACCCGATTTATTGTTTTAGGCTAACTTTTATTCCCTCTAAAGCAGTTTACTTATTTAAACTAAAAAGCAACTTATATTCCTACTACAGAAAAAAAACTAACATTTGCATATCTAATCAAACTCTGACAAACACATTTTATTTGGATTAGCAGGCAATGAGTCATTTAACCATGTATTTCTATGTTTGGAAGGCTTTTGTCTTTTAAACACATTACATTGTACAAAATCAGTGTAATCCACACATGGATGCCAGACTCACTGCAGTAGTGTAGTAAAGTTATTTTTAGAGTTGTTTCAACCCAATGTTGGGTCAAATATGGACTAACCCAACTGTTGGGTTAAATTTTGGTTACATTTTTAAATTAACTTTTTAACCCAACAGTTGGGTTAGTCCATATTTGACCCAACATTGGGTTGAAACAACCCAGCATTTTTTAGAGTGTAGTGTATTCTGCTTCAAAACATTTACACAAATACACTTTTGTGATAACTTTTAGACTGTTTATAACAGGTTTGATCTGTTACCAAACATGGATGGCATTTGTAATGTAGTTTGTATAAAAATAAACCATATAAATACAATCCATGCTTCTGAATTTTGGGACAAAAGCACCATTCAGTCAATTAGATTGTATTAGGCAAGGCAAGGCAAGGCAAGTTTATTTATATAGCACATTTCATACACAATGGTAATTCAAAGTGCTTTACATAAAAGAAAAGAAAATAATAATTAAAAAAAAATCACAACAATAAAACAAGGAATTAAAAAACTTTGAAAATGATTTAAAAATTGATTTAAGAGAATAGAAAAGAATAGAAAGAATAAAAAACGATTATACATTACATATAGTGCAATCAGTGTGGACATCGCACAGTGCTCATTCAATAAATGCACAGCTAAACAGATGAGTTTTGAGTCTGCATTTAAATGTGACTAATGTTTTAGCACATCTGATCTCTTCTGGAAGCTGATTCCAACTGCGGGCGGCATAATAACTAAAAGCAGACTCCCCTTGTTTTGTGTGAACCCTTGGTATTTCTAACTGACTCGATCCTAATGATCTGAGTGGT